GGGGGGGGGGGGGGGGGAGATGAAAAGAAACTTTCCTCCAAATCACTCCTGACCTGAAATTTCCGTTATAGAGATTCATCCCATAGCCATAAAGGTTTTGTTCCCTGTTAAAAGACACTTTGGTCCCATTTGGACTATAAAGGATAGTGAACCTTTATCAGACATTGGGAGTTTACAGTCTTTATTTTTTAAGATAGTGAGAACAAGAAGTACATGGGCAGATTTGAGCAGATGCATGTAAAAATGCCAAAAATCAACACAGTCTTCACAATTTTGCTTAGAGTTGGTACTAAACAGCAAGATCTGTTATGTTAGTTATACAGGAAAAAATATAAGATCATTGAAGAAATGGCTTTGGGGCTTTTTAAAAGGGGTATGTGAAGGTATAACTGAAAAATAATCCAGGATCCAGCTGTAATTATCTCTCTTTCCCCTATCTCTTCAACCATAGGAACCCACGCCTGCTGTTTTGAATATCCTTCAGAGTTCTGACTATTATATTCCTTTGTCTTTGTCCACATTTATCATCTTAACTTAATGTAGCCCATGAAATTACAAGTTTTTTTCCACTTCCAGTATCACCTTGACTTTTTGTGGCTGCTTCTATTTTTACATGTTGCCTTTCTTCCTGTGCTAGTATTCTTCCCCCACTTAAAAAAATTTTTTAGTGTATGGTCAGTTATTCATTTTATTCTTTTAAGTTATCTTACTCAGCCTACTATGTCAATCAAGTCCCCCAAATGCTGTCATTGATAGTTTTGCCCATTTCGTCCAACCAAAAACAAATAAGTAAATACAGTTTTCTAATAAAGCTTTGGGTTTAACTTCTACTTTGCTGTTGTAATTTATATCTAAATGAACTCCATGTGAACTGACCCTATGTGAACTCCATCTTCTCTCTTGAATAAAACTGAATGTGCTCTCTCTGCTCAGTAATGGTAACTCTTAAAAGTATGATAAAAGACAACTTGGGGAAAGTCTATTTTCTTAATTAGCAGGTCACATTTTATGAAAACATTCTGAATTTAATATTTAGCATTTAGCATGTACTCACACTCTCAGAGGTACTAGGCATTCATATAGAAATGTCCCCTGTTGTCAAAGAGCTTCCATCTAAAAGATTTTGACTTATAGACTGAGAAACCAGTTTTAAATACCTAGCCACCCTTTTTTGTAGCACCTCTGATTTGAAGAAATTCAGATACTTTAGCAAGCCATGGTAACTCTGGTGCAGTAGAAAATAATCACAGGTTTATATAATTTCTCTTTCCTTAGGATGTAGAAATAGTTTCATTCATTATGAAGAAATCCTGGGATGCCTGTGTATAATTGCAGAGATTAAAAAGAGGACAGGAATCTCTGAAGAATGGTGGACATTGAGAGACAATAAAGTATTTCAGAGTATGGGATCTGAAGTCAGACTTAGATTCAAACCTCAGCTCTACTCACTATCTATGTGACCTTGGGCAAGTTTCTTAACCTCCCTGATGTTTGATTTCTTTATCTATAAAATTAATGTAGTGACTCCTACCTCATTAAAGGATGTTGCAGTTGAAATTATTAAATTATAATTATTAACCAGATTTAGAATTTCTTCATTCAGAATCTATTGTTTGTCTGTAGTGTGTTGCTAGAATAAGATTGTTAAAAGAAGAGTTTTAACTTTCTAAAGCCAGAATTATTTCAATGTATCTTGTTTGCCCTTTTCTTTATGTTGGTGTATCCTATTGCTTGTTCCTATTTGTCCCTTTTTAAAAACTATTTTTTAGTATCTCCACTGCAGATTTCCCTTTCCGTATTAACACAGAAGTCAGAGCCAGCGGCTACCTTTCTGATAGAAAATTTTCTCAACTAATTTTCAAGGTGTATAATAGGAAGAGGGCAGGAGAGAAGCGCTCCTAGAGACATTGAACAATTAATTATATTGTAATGGAGCTATAGAGGGAGGAGTAGATGACTGGCCCAGAGAACACATGATTTCTCTAGTGCCAGGATTACACTCAGAGGCATTTCTGCCTATCTCCACTTCGCAAGGCACAGTGCCAGTGAGAACAGCAGTTAGTACACCCATAGTGGGGTTTACTAGCTTCCACACCGTGTTTGGTGGGTTCTTAACTTCAGGATAAGGAATTAAATTTTTTACCCAGCAGGAAGTGATTGCCATTTACTGATTTTTTTTTGTAGCAAAGATCTAGCTTGGGATATGAGCATTCCAAAGATGTGCTGTCATAAGGAAGGAGATGCTAACAAATGTTGCTCACTGGAATCAAGGAAAGGCAGTAAAATGCGTGTATGTATGTACATAGCCAGGAACACACCTGTGAAAGTCAATTTCATGCTTTAGACTTGACAGCACAGTGCTTGTAGGCATTTCTTTTCATCTTCTTCCATACCTGCTCTGAACACTCCTGTGATCCCTTTGTTTTCTGTGCAAATGAACTGAATTGCTCCTTTCAAGCATAGCTACACTGGTCACCAGGGTGCCTGAGTTGCCAACAAACCTTAACCCCATAAATGAAGACAAAAGAAGTGTTCTCTATGACAGAGGCGTTCCTACTGCCCATGATGCGAGGCTCCACTGACTAGCACAGCTTTACTCAGTGAAAAAAAGGCTGTGGGACATGTGCCTAGCAGTTCAAAGGTAGTACACAGATATCGTCATGAATAAAATTTTCAAAAGATAAGGCCAATAAATCTGTCTATCCAGAGGTCTAATAGACCAATAGTTGGATTCTGGTTATATGTATTTCATTTAAGTATTGACATTAAAATATTCCAGAAGGCCTAATACTCGATGTTCTACCCTGGAAATCATCATGTTTTACCCAAAAGCAAATCGATATTGGCCCAGTTCCTTAGAGCCCAGAAAGTTACTCCTTGATGTGGGACTCCTGAAACCAGACTTAACTTCACTCCTCTCCAGGCTAGTTTTGGAGACTATATGGAATGATAATTGTCAAAACACTTTGAAGAAATATGAAGCTCCTTGTGAATGCATAATATTGTGATTTTTATTATGAAATATTTGTGTTTTTTTAGGGGACAGTATTTATTCAAAAACAAACCTCCTGATGGGAATGCTCCTCCCAACTCTTTTTATAGAGCACTTTATCCTAAAATTATACAAGACATTGAGGTAAGAATCTATGTATATTTAGGTATTTGCCAAATACTAGAGAATCATCAACATTCTTCAGTAACAGCATTGTTACAGCAAACCCATTAAGGTTTATTGATGTGAGTTAAAAATCAATTTCTTTGTAAGAGAATAGAGTAGGTAAAATATAGTAAATTGCCAGGCAAAGATTTGTGTTTAAAAGTTATTTACTGCCGAAACCGGTTTGGCTCAGTGGATAGAGCGTCGGCCTGCGGACTGAAGGGTTCCAGGTTCGATTCCGGTCAAGGGCATGTACCTGGTTGCGGGCACATCCCCAGCAGGAGATGTGCAGGAGGCAGCTGGTCGATGTTTCTCTCTCATCGATGTTTCTAACTCTCTATCTCTCTCCCTTCCTCTCTGTGAAAAATCAATAAAATATATTTTAAAAAAAAAGTTATTTACTGATAGATAGATAGATGGATAGATAGATAGATAGATAGATGAGAGAGAGAGATTATGATGTCTTCATATAATATCAGTGAGACTGCACTCTTAACCTGATATTCAGATATCTTCTCAATTGAGCCTCCGTGGAGATTCACTAGTAGAAATGACCACCATGTAGGAAGCCCACTGAGCACATAACTTCATGTGGTTCATAGATTGCCTTCTCTCAGTGAGCAATCTCTTTCCACCAGGTTTATTATTTAATTGAATGAATTATATAAAGAGTTCTAGAAAATAATCTTTAATTACTTTACAAATGAAAAATGTTTTATAATTTTAAATAGTGCCTTTGTTTGTTTGTTTGTTAATCCTCATCCAAGGATATTTTTCCATTGAGAAAGTGGAAAGGAGGGGGAAAGACAGAGAGAGAAAACATATTTTTAGTTTGCCTTAAGTTTTAAATAGCCAATAGAGTGAAGCATTGAGCATTTGTCATTGGTTGCATGAAAGTTAGATAAGTGTTTAGTTCTGTTCCCTTCCTAATTACTGCCTCTTACCATTCCTTCTTCTCAGACAATAGAATCTAATTGGAGATGTGGTAGACATAGTTTACAGAGAATCCACTGCCGAAGTGAAACCAGCAAAGGAGTTTACTGTCTGCAGTATGATGATCAGAAGATAGTAAGCGGCCTTCGAGACAACACTATCAAGGTGAGATTTCTTCAGGTGTGGGAAAGTAGCTGAAGAAGCTAGGTTGACCACATTCATAAAACAATCCAAAGCATAAATTCTAAGTATTATTTCCAGGAAGTAAGTGAGCATTTAAGGTTGTTTCTAGTCCCAAAGCCAAAATCAGTTCCTTAAAGGACAGATACCTGCTTCCCCCAAGAAGAGCATATAAATGGATTGTTAAATTCTCTTCTTGAAGTTCACTGAATGAGCTATTATTCTTAGCTCTCACATAATTATAGGCTACCCCTGTCCTTAATGAAAAGGATAAAGTCTGCACATGTACTGAAGCCACATATATGTAGGTGCTTAGCTATACCTAGAGAAAAGAATGCATTCCACACTACTCTGAGCTTTGATTCTTTGGGGGTGTCAAACACATAATAGAGCCAGCAAGTCTCTGCAGCACCCCATTATCACAGTGATCAAAAGGATCTTGTTTGCCCTCCTAGATCTGGGATAAAAGCACATTGGAATGCAAGAGAATTCTCACAGGCCACACGGGTTCTGTCCTATGTCTCCAGTATGATGAGAGGGTGATTATAACTGGATCATCGGATTCTACAGTCAGGTAAAAAATTTCAGACGACTTTTTGAACTCAATTATCAGATCCACTCTGTCTTTGTCATATATAGTAATTCTGTGTCTATCTGCATGAGCACAGTTCTAAAACTTCATAACTAAAGAAGAAACCATCAGCTCCCCCCACCGTTGTGTTAATCTAGAACTAAAAACTTGAATTAGGAATGATTAAGGTAAGTTTACATTTTTATACATTTGAGAAACTACACTTTCTGTTTTAATTTGCTAGAATCATCCATTACAGAAACTTGGTAAACCTTGCATTCCTTACAGAAACTACCTCACAAGGGAATGACATGAATGAAATGAAACCTTCCTTTCAGGGGGTTATAACTGTAGTGTAGGCATGTGTTATCTCCTTTAAAATGTGTACAGGTGAGAAATGCTCTCTCTTTGCCAGCCCCTCCCCTGCTGTCCCTGCAGTTTTTAATTGCAAGCTTCACTCAGGGAGGGGCCTTCAATTTCCAGAGGCATTAGTAATTTGATGACATAGTCATTATGCTGCTGGAGTCCAGTGTAGCTTGAGTTCTGGGTACCAGAAGCACTGCTGGAAACCTCTGTTAGAAATTTTGCCTTAAGCTAAAGGATTTAGCAAACATAATGCATCAGAAGTAACTTTTTTAAAAATCGGGGGGGGAAAGCAGTTAACTGCATTGTTAGATTCTCTGAAGTTAAATGTTTACCATTCTCAGTTATCCTCTGTGAATAGAAAAGGCTGTTCTTGTTTCTTGTCTTTTGACTTAAAGGCATAGCAAACTCGGTTCTTAGTTATCGACATTTAACATTTATTGGTTCATGTGGAATGCCTCAAGGCAGCTGAAACGTAGAGGCTGACTAACATCATTTATAGGATAAGGGAAAAAATGATTTTCTGAAAAAGGGGGTTAATCTGGAAAAAGGAATAACTTGTGTTATAAAAACCAAAGTAAATATACAAAAATAAGAGTATTAAAATCAAATACTATATCTCATCACATAAAATTCTCAAGCTATCTAAAGGTTCTATTCTCTACTGTGAAGTCCATGTTTACAGTTGATGGCCCTTCTTGATCCCAGTCCCCATTCAAAGCTCAGAAGTGGAGCCTTAGACTTAGGATCTAAGTAATCTTGGGCCTTGACCTGTGTGGTGAAATCTAAGATTCAAAGACATTAAGATCAAATCCATAGCATTAAATCAGTCTGTTATGGAAGCTTCTTGGCCTATATCAGTTCTAGTTCCTGAGGGCTATCCATAGGACACTAATGCTGCTGTTATTAATCAGATCCCCAGTTTTAAATGTATCTTATTAATGGTATCAGATTGAATTTCTGAAGTTTTATAATAATCTTGAGATCTGGCCCCAATTAGTAGGTGATGGTGGCTGCTACCTCATTCCTACTCCTTACACATACCCACATTTGAAGTAGTGTGTCTTTAAGCATTTCACATTGGCAGCATCCTATCTTCTTGCTTTTCCCACTCTCCCATTCCAGCCCTCTATCTACCACTTCCCTATGATCCATCAGTATTCTTTACCTCTGTTCAACTTCAAAAATGCAGAAGAGTAGGGTATAGTACTAGTATGAAAGTGATGGGGGTTGTCGGGGGAAGCACAGTGGTCAAATATTGGTAGTACATTGTAGCATCAGCACCTTCAAAATCTCAGATAGCCTTCATAATGTCGTTTGTTCCAGGGTGTGGGATGTAAATACAGGTGAAATGCTAAACACGTTGATTCATCATTGTGAAGCAGTTCTGCACTTGCGTTTCAATAATGGCATGATGGTGACCTGCTCCAAAGACCGTTCCATTGCTGTATGGGATATGGCCTCCCCAACTGACATCACCCTCCGGAGGGTGCTAGTCGGACACCGAGCTGCCGTCAATGTTGTAGACTTTGATGACAAGTACATTGTTTCTGCATCTGGAGATAGGACTATAAAGGTAAGTTTCCAACTTAAGAGTAGGAGCCGTAACCGGTTTGGCTCAGTGGATAGAGCGTCAGCCTGCAGACTGAAAGGTCCCAGGTTCGATTCCGGTCAAGGGCATGTACCTTGGTTGCGGGCACATCCCCAGTAGGGGTTGTGCCAGGAGGCAGCTGATAGATGTTTCTCTCTCTTCGATGTTTCTAGCTCTCTATCTCTCTCCCTTCCTCTCTGTAAAAAGTCAATAAAATATATTAAAAAAAAAGAGTAGGGGATTTCATGTGAAAATCTGATCAAGGGCTATTTCATATTAAAACATCACTGTAGACTAATTAAATATTTAAGTAATGGTAATAAATGAGACAAGTTATGTGACAATTTTGGTTAGGTATTTTATTACTATAAGTAATGGTGAGTGTAAGAAGGGCAGGAGTAAATTTAGGTTCAAGAAAATTTGTCTATAAGACCAGACTAACACCATAGAGTAAATCAGTTTGAAAAATCCTATGTGATAGCAACGAGCTACAAATTAGCCCTATATTACCATGAATCAAACTTGTCATTGATTTGGTTTGACTTGATAACTTGGTTTAGTCCTTGCCTCTCCAGGACTCCATTTGCCGTAGATATTACTAGTGAGAACACCAAATCAACTGCCAAATGCCATATTCTGTTTCAGGTATGGAACACTAGTACTTGTGAATTTGTGAGGACCTTAAATGGACACAAACGTGGCATTGCCTGTTTGCAGTACAGAGACAGACTGGTCGTTAGTGGTTCATCTGACAACACTATCAGGTGAGCAGCGGGTGCCTTGTCTAGAAGGGATCATTATTATCCTACCATTCATTGTTTGTGCACAGTTCAAACAAATCTTCAACTATGTTATGTTTATTATAAAATGTTTTTTCTTTCTGTAGCTTCTCACAGGTCAAAAGTTTGCACCACGCAGAGAGACAGCACAGCAAATCCTTTTGTTGATGTATTTCCTTCCTGTAATAGTTTTATCATCAGGTAGACCTATTTAAAAGGTACTGCTTGAATGAGGAAGTGGGCAAGAGAGATACGCAGATTGAGGTTGAAAGCCCTTCTCTTTAAATTTCATCTGTCTACAGTTGGAAAGGGCTAATAAATAGCTAAAGGCCATTTCTCTCTGCCCATGGTCTAAAAAAAAGAAACAAGATTTGTTTCCCTACTAGCAAGTGTGCATTTTATTTTCTTAGTATTGCATAATTGGCTAGGGAGTTACCAGTCTGAAATTATAATGAATCCACTAATTGAAGTATTTTTGGTATTTTCCCGTCACAAAGATGAACAAAGTCATCTTTAAATTGTATTTGGATAATTTATCAATCCTCTCAATTCCTTCAAAGTACTAAGAGGATGAAATTATCATTCCTAGAAATCATCTGGATTGGTCTGAAAGCATACAGTTTTTGTATATTAGCATATAAAAGTTTTTGAGAACTTCTTTTGTGTTTCCATTAAATGAGAAAGACTATCCTGCAATGGGTGAAAGCAGAGGGTGACCTCATAAAATATATTGGTGAGGTCAGGAGGTCACTGACATTCCTCATCTCGTTCTTATTAGTGATTTCAGGAAGCATTGTCTTTCTTGGCTTGGTCATTTCCTTCACAGGCAGCTATGTCCATTGAAATCACCCTTTTTATGCCTTGAAGACCCTGGTTACAAAATTACATAAAGCATGGAAAATATGTACTATGTGTGAACTTAAATTATATCTTTTTCTACCTGAGTTAGATGGCAGAAAGAAAATAAATTACATCGAAAGCAGTACATTCTTGCATGGGTGTTGATTTATTTTGGGGACTTTTTTAAAGACATTGAAGTGTATTATTATAACATTCCAAGCTTAGGAATGAATATATGAAAATTCACTTGACTCAGTTTTCTTTTCCAGATTATGGGACATAGAATGTGGTGCATGTTTACGTGTGTTAGAAGGCCATGAGGAATTGGTGCGCTGTATTCGATTTGATAATAAGAGGATAGTCAGTGGGGCCTATGATGGGTGAGTTTGTATCTACGTCTTAATCTCTCCTGCCTTAGGATATTAAATATAGCCTCGCCTTGTGTCTAAAAGATTATAGATTTCACAGAAAGGACCCAGTACAGTAGTTCTTGTGTCTAATTTATGTATTCACCTCTCCTTTGTTTACTCTTTCAAAAATATTCTTCCCAATTATTTAGTTGCACTTTTTTGCTCATGATTGTTATTGATATTTGGGATTTTGGTTATATATTATTTCCATTTTTCCCTATAAAGCAAAGAATTGGACAAATCCAGTATAACAGGATATACATATAAAATAGTGACTTACTATAAAACTAAAACATTGGAGGGCAATATCTATGGGGCTTAATGTGGTGGGAGGATCTTAAATTTTGATATCTTTGAATGTTTCCAAAAGTGCAGTTCCCTTGTCTTTGCTTCTTCTAGCATTTCAGTTACAATGAGTTCAGTAATTTTTATTTTATTTAGTCCAATTTCCGGTGAATATAGACTCCATTCCTATGGATAGACCCCATGTTTAGCAATGCTAAGCACATAGTAAATTCTTATAAAAGTATATTCACTTATGAAGACCTCTTTATCATTTCTTCTTGTCAGGATACAAAGCTACAGTTCAAATATTGGCAGCTTTTTAAATATCAGAAACTAACTTAACATTATCTTAGTGTATGAACTGACTATACTGATATTATGACAAT